AATCAGTTTTGAGAGGTACCTTTGTGCACAGATGCCTGAAGAGTCATTGCAACAAGTCAGCTGCAACGAGTCATTTTTGTTTTCTATGTTTTTTCAGGTGAATGACCGACGCATTCTAGATGGAATGTTTGCTGTCTGTGGCGTTCCTGATGAGAAGTTCCGCACAATCTGCTCCACAGTGGACAAACTAGACAAGGTGAGAGATCAAACTTGAGCCGTTACATGTCAAAGCGGTATTTATTGTTTGAATTTTGTGATTTAAAATTAGCAGAATTTGAAAGCTGAGACTTTGTTTCATATCGAAAGTAACAAAGCAGAAAGCGTATTGGATAGGAGGCACACTCCAAATGATTTGGGATGTGATTAATTAAATTCAGTTAATCTATATTGTCAACCCATCCCTAATTTAAGGTTTGACATGCTCGTTGTGTTTATAGATGGCCTGGGAGGATGTAAAAAAGGAGATGGTGAATGAGAAAGGTCTTTCAGAGGATGTGGCTGATCGGATCGGGGAGTATGTCAGCATGCAGGGTGAGTAAACATTCATCACTCCCACATTTAACAATCACCTACAGTTTTTACCCAGCCAGATGTGTTACCTCTTGTGTTTTCCTACATCTGCTGACATCTTTGACCTCCAGGTGGGCAGGATCTGGCCGAGCGGCTGCTTCAGGACCCCAAACTGTCCCAGAACAAACAGGCCTGCGCTGGGCTCACGGATATGAAGCTGCTCTTCAGCTACCTGGAACTCTTCCAGGTCACAGACAAGGTGAGGTCAGAGGTCAAGAACGTGTCAAAAGAAAAAGTTATTCCCTATTGTCCTTAATACTGAACAAAAGGTTGTAGTGAAAATTCTTCTACTCTGCAGTCTTTTCTAATTGAATATTTATCAATCAAAATAATTGCATTTATCTTTTCTTACTTGCATAGCATGGGCATTATATTGTATTAGTGTTTGCTAAAAAAAAACACACACACACACACAAATGAAGATAATTTGATGATATTTGAAACAGATTTTCAGCCAATCAGAGCATAGTCAACTGTGTAATATAGAGCAGTATTTTGGACCAATGAGATTTCACTGTGGGTGGAGCTACGCAGCTTGACGTGACAACTTGTAACCAAACTGACTTAAATACAGCTAGTTAGAACAAAAACTCAAAATTAACTTGCTGATGCTGTATCACTTCACACCTGATTATTTTTTTATGCTCCACATGCATCTTCCTTACATTTTATGACCCATTAGATAAGAAATACACACCCTATAAAATTTATTACAAGGGTGTTTCATTTCAGTAAATGCAGTTATAATTTCATGTTCATTATTTCTTTTTTCACACTCTGCATCTGTGATCTTGTTCATTTCGTTTGCCCTCATTAATTTTTAAATCTTTCTCTCTAGGTGGTATTTGATTTGAGTCTGGCTCGAGGACTGGACTACTACACTGGTGTGATTTATGAAGCGATTCTCTCCCAGACCATCCCAGCACTGGTGTCCACGCCTGCAGAGCAGAACGGGGCAGATGAAGCTGGTGTAAGCGTTGGCAGTGTGGCCGGCGGAGGGCGATACGATGGTCTGGTGGGCATGTTTGACCCCAAGGGCAGGAAAGTGCCCTGTGTGGGTGTCAGCATTGGGATTGAGAGGATCTTTTCCATCATGGAGCAGAAGGCCGAGGTGAGTAAGAGAAAGAGGGGTAGGTTTAAGGGTGTATAATGATAGTCTGTATAATAGTCTGTTTGGGAAGCTTGCGTTATACAATATTGTTTTACATTTAAATATAATATGAAAAAAAAAACTGGGAATATTAATGTTTTGTTTTAAATATTTAATTATTTAATGCTTTTTAAACATTTGGAAGGATTGTTTATTTTTAAGCCATGTAATACCAGAATAAAGGCTAATTATGACTGAATAAAAACAAAAGAAAAATGAGGATTACATCTCATACCTGGCAGAGATGTGAAAGGTTCGTGGAGTGAGAACAATAGAAACATGAATGGGGCAGTTTGCGGGGCCAGACATCAGACAATAGCATGCAGGGGAGCTTACAATAAATTATTTTATTAGCCTTCTCTAATGACTCAGGACATGGTCTTAGAAAATGTTTCATAAAATGCGTAGTTTTAGAGATAACGTCCTCAAATTCGAAATGAAGCATGAGCAGACTTGTGGCTTCAGCTTCATTGTGTTTCTAAAATCATTTACCACAGCCACATATTCTTATTTTTGTGTTTATGTTTTAGCTTATATATCTCCATATTCATAACAGTCTGAGTAATTCTGTGTCTCGAACAGTAAACTTTCAAGTGTCAGCTTTGTAACTATAAGTTGGTTATGTATCTAGTCAGAAAGACCCATGAGCAGCAACCTTTTTTTTGGGTATGTCATTTATGTTCCCATGCCAAAACGGGGTGCTTGAGAAGGAGTTTTAAATGTATTTACATTTTATTTAAGTACATTTTTAGAATAGTGCCACTGTATCATATGAGTGGTATTTAACATTTTAAACTGGGAATATTAAAGGGTCGGTTTTAAATCTTGAATTTTTTTTAAACATTTAGGAAGATTAATGTTCATTTTTAATATTTATTTTAATTATTTAATGCTATTTATTTTTAATTATTAATAATTTAATTAAATTTTTAGGACAGTGCCACTGTTTTAATATGAAAGGTATTTAAAACTTAAAACTGGGAATATTAATGGTTCATTTTAAATATTTATTTAATACTTTTTAAACATTTGGGAAGATTAATGGTTGATTATTAATATTTATTTTACTTAATACTATAAAAATTTATTTTTATTTACGTCATTGAGTGCATTTTTTAGAAACCTTTTTAACTTTTAAAAACAATATTAATGGTAACAATAGTTTAATTACTAAATGCTTCTTTTCATTGTTTCCTTTGAGGTACTTTTTGGAATGGTGCCACTTTTTTTTGTTTGTTTTGTTTTTTTTTATTACAAAAGGTATTTAATATCTGAAAATTAATGGCTTATTTTTCATGTTTAATTTAATGCGTTTTAAATTACATTTAGTACATTTTTAGAATGGTGGCACTGTATTTTAATATGAAAGGTATTTAAATACAAATATGGAATGATCCCATCTCCTCCAGGCATCTTCAGAAAAGGTGCGCACCACTGAAACTCAAGTGCTGGTGGCCTCAGCGCAGAAGAACCTTCTAGAAGAGCGACTCAAACTGACCAATGCGCTTTGGAATGAGGGAATCAAGGTTTGTATTTGCTTGAATGTCGTATCAAGAAAACCAAAATGAATTTGGAGTTGGATTGTGGATCTCTGACTCTGAACTATGTATTATGTGCTGTAGGCTGAAGTTTTATATAAGAAAAACCCAAAGCTGTTGAGCCAACTGCAGCACTGTGAGGAAACTGGGATTCCACTGGTGGCCATTTTAGGAGAACAAGAACTCAAAGACGGAGTTGTCAAACTGCGCAACGTAGTCAGCCGAGAAGAGGTAAAAACGTTTACAACGTCATGCCATTCACAAAATATTTTAACTGGGTATAAAAAATGTTATGCATTAAACAGGCTACATTAGTGTCACAATCTTGTATTGCATGTATATTCATCTTGAAAATAAATAGTTTTACATTTTTATACATCTTTGGGAGTCTGATAAAAAAATAAAAAAAATAAAATAATAACTAATATTTTGTCTGGTTTCCTGTAGGTTGATGTGCCCAGAGCGGATCTGGTGGATGAGATCAAGAAACGGACCTTGTAGTCGTAAAGGGATAGTTCACCCAAAAATGAAAATTCTGTCATTAATTACTCACCCTCATGTCGTTTCAAACCCATAAGACCTTCATTCATCAACAGTCATCATATAGACAGAGGAGGACAGTGGACCCACTGCCACTTACCAAACGCCAGTTACAATTGTGTCAGTTGTCAAACATGTACATTGAGCAAACATATTCAACTCATTGCCTGCTCTTTTAAAATGGGCTTGGATTACGTCAGATCTATCAATAAATGAGTAACGTTTTGTCTTGTCTTAATGTGTCAGTCATATGTTTTAATGCCACATGCAAGATTACTTTTACGTTTTCTCTACATTCTATGTGACTTTGTCTTTAAGACAGCTATAAATATTAGTATTGTAATTTTACATCTGTTAAATAAAATTATTTTTAAATAGTTTATTTTATAGGTAAAATTGACAGTCATATTTCTTAGACATTAGTATTGTAATTTTACAATGGTAATTATTTTGAGACAGCTATAAGTATTGTAATTTTACAGCATTAAAATATTTACATTAGTAATATTTTAATATTTAAGATGGCCATAAATAAGAATATTTAAATTTTACTGCTATAACATTTTGTTTTACAGTATTGAATTTCATACAGATTAATCAGTTTTCATAAAAATTTGTGATTATTTTATAATCATATTGATATATTAAAATACAATTTTTCAAAGATGACTTGATATCGCTCCTTAACAACCCATGTGGCTTGAGGTACCATTCATATCTAGCAATTTTCTGCATCAAAGTTTAGTACTTGTGTTGGGGTGTTTTAAATTACCGCAACTTCTTATCCAAGTAATAATTAGGGATTTGAACAATAGCATACACAAGAATGATTTCTTGGAACAACTTATTTACTGTACAAAAGTCATTTATAATCAGTACAACCCATCAAACAAGGAAACAAGAGCACACCATGCAAAGTCAACAAACGTGACAAACACTCAAAATAAATTGTGAAAAGTCAAATACAGTGGAAAAACACTCAAAATAAGTAGTCGTGAAAACAGGCAGTCGTCCAAATGTGATGAGGCTGACTAAAATAAATGATTAATATTACATAGTTAAAATATTATAAAACATTATACCAACAAGAACATAATACTTCAAAACTCCTTCATACCACTGAATTCAAGAGCTTGTAAAATTAAAAGAAATTCACTGCCTAGATTGGCTTTTTTTTTTTCTTTAACATTAAACTAAATACTCGTTTAATCATTAATTTCCACTTATCTGAAACTGGAAGAGTACATGCCTTCAAACCGTAATACTGAACATAAAACTGATAACTTCACATTACATTAACAACAGCAGCTACATTTTTAGAAAGGTCGTAAATTTGAGACTTTACACATGGTTTGGATCGCCTGCTCGGCGGCGGCTCGATAAACTTCCACCTTCATGGCTTGAATGCTGGTGCCTGGAAGGATCCGGATAAACCCGCACAGGGGAAAAAGAAGGCCTGGGATCAGAATTTTGAAGATGAAGCAGAGGAAGCCGTCGGAGCTGGTGCGATGGAAACGGACTTCATACTGTGGAGTGCCAAGTCTGTACAGCTCGCATATCCACTGCAGCTGAGACACGGCATCGTGGTTCACGGGGGCTTGAGGCATCATCTCATCTCTCAGGCCGGCCGGACCCCCCACGGCCCGGAAGAAGGGCTGGATAGGGGGATGGGATGGGACATCATGAAGCAAGGGCTGAGGGTGCAGGTGGGGAGGGGTGATGGAGGGTTTGGGGAGGGGATTCAGAGCAGGTGGAGTAAAGCAGTCGTCGTCTTGTCCGGTCTCTGCGACATGCTTGGACTTGGAGAACGACATCCATTTCACAGTAATTGAAATGCCGTACCGCTTCCTAAAAGCTAAAAAAAAAAAAAAAAAAAAAAAAAAAAAAAAAAAAAAAAAAAAAAAAAAAAAAAAAAGACATAAGAAAAAAAACAAACAAACAGCTTAAAAGATCAATGTTCTTAATTAACGGTGACATAATTTGTTGCATTTTACAATACTTTCTCTTACTCCAGTTTAATGTGCAGAAAAAAGAAACGATTAGATAGATAGATACCTTGCACAAGCACTTTCTTGGCCATGGATGCGGCATAGTGGGAGGAGTAGTTCACTAGAGCCACAACCTCTCTCCCTTTGGGCCCGGGCATCTTCAGCAGGACATCCTCCACCCCGTCAGAGAGCATTCGCAGTACCGTCAGCAACTCCCCCTGATTTGTGCTAGTTGGAAGATCCCCCAGACGCAGCTGCCGCTTCTCCGTGCTCTTGCGCACCGTCAGGCAGCCCCCCTCCGGCAGACGGTAGTGATGCAGTGTCATGACGGCAGCAGAGGCGGTGACCGGGTCACCGTACTTTGCGTAGGCGAAGCCTCGGTTCTGCCCGCTGAAGTTCATCATGAGACGAAACTCGTAAATAGTGCCAATGCTCTGGAAAAGAGGGATCAGGCGGTCCTCATAGATGTCACGTGGTATCTGACTGATGAAAACCTCACAGCCCGGGCCGGGAGCAGGACCTTGCCAGACTGGAGTAAGAGAAAAAAGAAAAGAAGTCAAAAGGAGTGATAATTTATGTGTGATCAAAAACAAAAGTGACTGGGATTAGATTTCAAAAATACTTCATGTTGAAACAAATTTGATAATAGTATGAGAGAGATTTACATATATATATATATATATATACACACACACACACACACACGCGCAACAATACTTAGACTTGAAGTTACGCTTCATTTATACACACACATATATATATATATATATTACACACTTTTGCCAAAATACACTTTTTGAAAGTGCTTTAAAAATAAAAACAAATAAATAAATAATTAAATAAAACCTGGTTAGCTGTAACTTCAAAGCTTCGTGAATTCATGTCGACTAGTGGTCAAACTGTGATAAAAACATCTCTTAAAGGGGTCATATGATGCTTTTTTAAAGATCATTATTTGGTGTAACAGAATATGTTGACATGCTTTAATGTTCAAAAAACACATTATTTTTCAAATACTGTACATTATTGTAGGTCTTCTATGCCCCGCCTCTCTCAAACGCTTCGTTTTCTACAAAGTCCCTCCTTCCGACAAGCGCAGTCTGCTCTGATTGGCCAGCTGACCCAGTGCATTATGATGAGCCGAACAACGCAAGCACTCGTCGGAAATGTAACGCCCCTTACCATAACCGCGAGCTTCAAGACCATCACAGACACTAAAATGCTCAAACTGTCAAGATCTGACTTTATAAAACATATATTTTGAGATTTATTTCATAGCACTTTAAGCTCTTTTAGATATCAAGATCAAGGCAATTCCTCATGATATGATCCTTTAAAAGTGTAATTATACTCTGAAAAACTGATGAAAACATCACATAATAAACACTGATCAGAGACTCAGATCAAAGCTGTAAATTAGATGTACTAATTGAGCAAAAACTACTAAAGAAGTTACCATCTATGCACTCATGATCTTTGATACATATAAAACATAAAAGGCATTTAACAGTTAACCCCCAATCGGAATAATATTACTAAAGTTAAAAGTTTGACAGCTAAAACACAGCTATTACTTACTTACACAGATATTACACTTGGTGTCTGATTTATACAAGTTATATACATCTAAAGTGATCAACACATTAGAATTTAAATTCAATCATCTACAAATTTTACTTTAAAAAGGGATCTTGAACCAATCATTTTCATCAAGCAATAATCTAAAACCATCCAATCGGCAATAATTGAGCAGCAATAATGAGGACTTGCAGCCTAATTGAGCTCCAGGTGTCCATGCTTTAATGGAGGTAAAGGCAAAGCACAAAAGAGGCATGGTTCAGACTTTAATAAGATAGCTTCAATGTATCAGTCCCACATGACAAGCTGTTTTAAACCCAAAATGATAAAGATTCGTTCCTAAAACCTCTAACAGAACAGGTAAACAACCTGTTTCTGCTCTACTTAATACTATGAAGGAAAATGAGAGGCCATTTATAACTACATCATACTTCAGTCTCATGCTATGAGACATAAGTGAGCTTGAAATGCCATGTTGTGTTTTAATTGCAAAGGGCTGATCTCAGTTCAATTCTTACCCGGAGGAGGACCACCATATTTCCTCTGCCCATTGACCTGTGTTAAAGTGATTGAGCTTTTCAGCATCCATTCTTGCAGTGACTTCAGTCTCTGCGGGTTCAAAACCTGCCCGCAATCAAATCAGAGAGGTGATGTAATGCTTGCCATGTTATATCGATGAGCTGAAGTGCTCTCAAACGTCAAACTGTGATGACACAGAAATAAACTCATCTTGCGTCAAATTCTTACTGCGCAAAGTTTTGGCACAACAAGTACGTTGTTTGTAAGTATTAACTGTAAATAAACTCGCTCACCTGCTGTAGCTGCTGTCCCTCCATGTCGCTGTCCACCTGTGATGGCACACCTGTAAATTGGTGGAAAAGTCAAGCAAAGGTCATTAAAATAAACCTCATGACTCTCTAGAGACACTATTGGACACGCTTGAGGAAAGTGGGCGGCTTCTGCGCAGCGCGCTCAAAATTCAGTCCTGAACATAGATGATGCTGAGACTTACACAATTAAGATTTTATAGACAGCTGTTAAATGTATAATTATTCGTGTTTGCATGAATGGATCTGTTATATAACTTTTTTAAACTGGTTTAATTGGGGGAACAATAATTAGAGACGTTCCGCTCTTCACCAGCAGGTGGCAGCTTTGTATGTGATATTTTGAGCGAACGTCATTCATCATCCTTGGCAACATTATTGTTACTGTTTAAAAACATGTTTCATTTCATCTTTCGAGAGTCATATATGTGCAAATACGGGTTTTTTCCCCCCGTTTAGTTGTTATATGTACAAAACAGCAGGACATATGGAGATCTTCCTGTGTTTTTATTCCAAGGAAAAATTATGAGTTATTAGGTGACCTGCTGGGCTGAGTTTTCACAGGTCATGACCCCTGCACCATAAAACTGTCTACAGCAGTTTACAGAAAATTCGATTAAAATGCAATATAACGGTACATATTTACAAGACAATTAACTCTTTTAGTTTATGATGTATGCCACTCTCTGAATTAAACATATGATGATTTGAAACAGGTAAATACAGTAGGCATGTCTACACTGCACAGTATGCAAGAGTTTCTATTCCAAACATATTTTTTTACACTTCATTTTAAGGTAGCTTTGTGTATTAATTATATTATATATATTTATAATTAATTTGTAATTAAATTTGAGAGAACATTGAATTAAAATGCAATATAACTGCATTTATTTTTTTCATAACAGATAACAGATAATTAACCTTTTTTTGTTGTTTTTGTCTATGATACCTGGACGCCACTCACTGAATAAACATACAAATTGATGAGTTCATATAACAAAAATGTTGCATATTTAAAAAAAATAAAAAATCATCATTGCTGGGGTTTTTTTTTATATAGTATGCAACGGTGTACACTGCTGGACACGCTTGAGGAAAGTGGGCGGCTTCTGCGCAGCGCGCTCAAAATTCAGTCCTGAACATAGATGATGCTGAGACTTACACAATTAAGATTTTATAGACAGCTGTTAAATGTATAATTATTCGTGTTTGCATGAATGGATCTGTTATATAACTTTTTTAAACTGGTTTAATTGGGGGAACAATAATTAGAGACGTTCCGCTCTTCACCAGCAGGTGGCAGCTTTGTATGTGATATTTTGAGCGAACGTCATTCATCATCCTTGGCAACATTATTGTTACTGTTTAAAAACATGTTTCATTTCATCTTTCGAGAGTCATATATGTGCAAATACGGGTTTTTTCCCCCCGTTTAGTTGTTATATGTACAAAACAGCAGGACATATGGAGATCTTCCTGTGTTTTTATTCCAAGGAAAAATTATGAGTTATTAGGTGACCTGCTGGGCTGAGTTTTCACAGGTCATGACCCCTGCACCATAAAACTGTCTACAGCAGTGGATGTTTTTTCAAGATTTGTGTTTTGTTGTTCATTCCATTTGTTTATATAGTTTCTCTTTTTCTTGCTATGTTTATAATTATTTTATATAAAATTATTTTTTCCTTGCTTTTATTTTTAT